ACTTGTAATGGTTCTTTATGATTAAATAAATAAACGACACCAACCTGATTGCGGGATTAAAAAAAAAAAAAAAAATATTTAAAATAGAATATTAATAGAATATAATATATAAATATAAATATATTTTATTATTATTAAAATAAATTAAAGATCTCTGGAGTTTAATATATTAAGTTTCGCTTTGGAATTTTTTAATGATAACAGAGGTTCTTCAGAGATCTACATCCAAAGATCTTTAAAGATCTTTGCTAAAAAATTTTCTGATAATATTAATTGATATCAAATAGATAGATATATATTAATAGTATATTAATTATATAACTTGTTATATAAATTATTAAATTATATTGATATATAATAAAGTTTTTTTATTTAATAATGTAATATAAATTCAAAAATTATAATATTTTTTTTATTTGATAAAAAATATAATAAAAATAATTTTTATATATTTAAATAAATAAAATATTTATTTTATCTATTAATTATACAATGTATTAAAAAAGTTTTTGAACAATGTTTTTTTTATTTTAATTTAATAAATATATTTTTTGTGATCTAATAAACAAAATATTAAAAAAAATTTATTAATTAACTAATAATTGTATTTAAAAAAATTAATTTAAACTAAAAAATTACAAAAAAATTTATTTTATATATTTTATGGTTTTTATTTAATAAATTTTTATATTAAATAAGTTTGTTGATTTATTATAATTTTTTATTATAATGATTTTGAAATTTTAAATTTTTTATTTAATATTTAAGGTTAATAATATTGTTATAATATATACTATATATAATTAAAATCAAACTGTATATACAGTAAACAAAAAAAATGTTTTAAAAATTTATTCAAAAACTTTTTTAATATACTAATATAAATAAATAACTTGTTAATTAATTTATTGTATAATAATACTTTTATTAAATAATAATAATAAAGTTTATAAATAAATATATATATATTATAATAATAATAAATTAAACAAAAACTTTATATTTTTGATTTAATATCTAACCCGTCATATGCAAATGTTCCCAATTGAAATAATATAGTAAATATGCAATAAATGTCAAAAGGAAAAATCCGACAAATAGCGACATGTCATTTTCTTGACTTAATAATCCTACAAATGAGAATTTGGAGTTGTAATCATTCAAATCTGGGAGATTATCTGTACACCACTGCTCAATCTGTCAAATTTTAAGATAAATGTTTAGTAAAAAGATAAATGATCATGTATATATACCGTACATAAAAATGATAGAAATAACCTACCCGACCACAGGCCATACTAATTTTCAAGAAATTTGGATCCTTGGGATCATTTTTGGCAATAATTACACGACC